ACCAATCAAGAGGCTGTGACTTGAGAAATCACTGATGTTAGATGACTTCCTAAAAAATCACTCACTGCTTATTCACTTGGTTGTGACCATTAACGTTCTTCGTATGACATTGAATACTAGTTCACTGTTTGCTATGAGGATCGGTCAGGACAGTATGCTACCGAAGATGTACTCACTTTTTAATGCTTCTTAGTGTAAAAACATTAGAGACTCATTTCTAAAATGCAGTTATTTGATTGCTGCGTATGACTATTTACTGTAGTGCCAATATTTTGGTGGAAGAGGTAAAGTTCACACAACACAACATTTCGCTCATGTTTTGACATTTTGACTCCTAAGATTCTGTAAGACGAATTACACTGCCAAACCTATTAATTAAAGCTTAAGTTATTAAGTTAGTTGAGATTATCTATTGGATATGTTTTCTGCTAGTAAAGGACATTTACTTAGTGGCTTTCGGCTGCTCAGTAAAAGCTAGGAAAAGATCTCATTAAGACTTCAGTGGAAAATTTCTGACATTTATGTTTGCTAATTCTTCATTCCTTCCTCTTATTTGCCACCACCTCCACCCCTCTCTTCCTCTCTCCCATCCACTCAATCCTTATCTTCCTCTCTCTTTTCAGCTCCAGGCCAGTGGAGGCAGCTCAAGCTCTCCCAGCTCTCCAGCAGCAGCAACCCCTCCTGCTGTCAGTGAGAGCGCCCAATCCAGTGCAGCCAAACCCTCAACATCAGAGGCTCACCCTGCTTCAGAGGCCAAACCTCAGCCTCCAGCTCCCAGTCCTTCCCAGCCCCAACTTCAGCCTTCACCAGCCCCTGCTGAGGACCCCACCAAGGACACCACAGCTACACCTGGTGCTGCAACAGCTCCCGCCACAGTGCCCGTTTCAGACAGGCATTCACCAGCTGTCCCGCAGCCAGCCAGGACCCCGGGAAGTGAGGAGACAACAGAGCGAACAGAGGGCATGCCAGAGTGAGTTTCAAATTGGACAAGAGATCTCTCATTATTTTTTATTTAGCTTATTTATGTTATCATGTTTGTCATTTGTAAATAAATTTTCTCTTTCTATATTTTTTACTATCTTCTAGCCAAGTAAAGAAATCAACCTTAAACCCCAACGCTAAAGAGTTCAACCCTATCAAACCTCAAATGCCTATGGTAAGCCAATTTATTCCTGCTATGTCTTTGAGACGCACTTTTATTGATATTTTATATTTGCACTCTTTCCTACTTTGTACTGAAACTACTGTATCTTATCTTAAAATTTGAAAAAAATATCATATTGGCTAAAGCTAGTGTAGTGTCTATAGAGAGCAATGTGTTGTGTAGATCAGGAAGTGTGTTAAAGTAAAGTTAAGTCCAAATATATTGCATCATATATTTTATAGTCAAAGACCTGTTGGCACTGCATTAATGTAACTATGTCACTTACTGTAATATATGTAGGAAATTGTCCTATATTGATAAGTTAGTCGAACCCCCTGTGGTTAACTAAGTGTAATTTAGATTTATTTACCTCTGATTGTGTTATCGTACAGGCGAAGCCCAACACTGCGCCCACCCCACCCAGGCCAACTCCACCAAGCCCAGTGGTCCTTCAGCACCCAGGCGGACAGGGACCACTCTACAACACCTCCTACCTCTCCTATGTATCACAGATCCACTCTGTGCAGGTAAATGACCCAGAATCTTTATATAAGCAGCTGTGTTTCTTATCAAAGACCTTTGTACAAACAGTTTGGAACTTCCTTTTAGTACAGGATTTATGGGGTAAATTCATATTTACTACCAATGTCATTTTAAGACATGGAAAATCTGACTAACACAACTTTTATTGAATTCATTTAGGGCTGCAACTAACAATTATTTACATTATCAATTAATCTATTGTGCTTATTAGTATAAAAAGGCCCTTCATAGTTCACCAGAGCTCTATAGTTATGTATTCAAATGTCTAGTTTTGTCTGATGGACAGTTTAAAGTCCAGAAATACTAATTTTACTATCAGAAAATACTAAAAAATATCACTTAATATTCACATTTGAATATTTGTCTTTTGGCACTTTGCTGTTAAACAAAAAAAAAAGACTGAAATGAATAATCGTTTAAAAAAAACTTTATGCCAATTGATTTTCTTTTAATCTACCAATCATTTAGGTTTTAAATTGAGTCCTCACGATGCAGCATGTCATGCATTGACCTCTTCATCATTTCTGTCTTTCAGCCCCCACAAATGTACCAGTACACCATGTCTACAGTCAGCCAGGGAAAATACCCCAGGACCAAAGGTAAATGCAGTTTTTCCTTCCATTGCTGTATGTCTGGTTTAAATTTATCTCTACTTAAATTTATTTCTAAAATCAATATCCTGCCAGCTCGTCAAAGGCATGAAATCAACTTCTAAGTACATTGTGCTGATGATTTTAATTTAACCTTTAAATTCTGCTTTTATCAACCATTAACCAATCCTCTCATTGTACTTGTATCTGTGTTTTTGCCTCCACCAGGCTCAGTTGTGGCTCAGCGCTCTGACCACGGTACTTCAGCACCCCCAATGTTGCAAGCTGCAGCGTCAGCAGCCGGGGCCCCATTGGTAGCGTCCCCCTACCCTCAGTCCTACCTTCAGTACAACCCACAGCAGTATGGCCAGCAGCAGGTCATCCAGGCCATGACACCGTACCCTGGACAGGTAGGATATCTGCCATCTAGCCCCTTCTTATAATTCAGGTTTTAAATGGTTCAGAGAATGTTTGCAGTGCATAAAAACAAACGTAAGTGCTGAGGCGATTATCTGAGCTTATTATTATTCAACAGAGGTTAATAACAGCCACTTAAAGCTCCCTGGTTGATCTTGCCTGCACATTTGAAACAACATATTAAAAATAGCTTCTTCTCTCCAGCCGATGTACTCCATGCTGCAAGGTGCCAGGATGATAGGTCAAGGCGGGGGTCCCCACCCGCAAGCCCTGGGACCCCCTGCAGGCCCCCAATTCCCTTCACAGGGAGACGGACCTCAGGGACCACAGCAGGGCATCTACGGTGAGTGATCTGAAACACAAAGTATCCATATGCAGTCCACCTATTTAAAAAACTAATGAATTTTCAGTCATACTTTTTCCAAACCCATATCAGTTTTTTGAAACAAGGTCTTCAGATGGCCTGATGGAAGACTCTGAAATGCAAACTAGAGAGCCTGTGGCGACTGAGTCTCAAAGCACTGACAATGAAACGATATAAAGCATCATATTGACACTGATTTTCTATTTTTCTGTGTAGCTGCACAGTCCTTCTCCCACCATTCAGGTGCAGTTCATCAGCCGCAGCCCTCCAGTACCCCGACAGGCAACCAGCCGCCTCCCCAGCACGCTGCACCTAGCCCTGGACAGGTGAGTTTCTAGATGAACTACATTATAACTGGAAGACAAGCCTGGCCGATTTAAAGCCTTCATATCAGCTGCCATTTGTTTACCTGGAAGTGACTTGTGCAACGTCAGTGATTCTGTAAGGTCAAGAAGAGTGCGGAAATACACCACTACTTTCTCTCATTTGGGCAGGAGGTGCCTCTTTAGCCCGGGCTTCAATGTCCTCTGAAGGGGACTCAGACAGTTATTGATGCTTCATTTATTATCTCTTTTGATGTTGTGATCTCTCTTTTCAGAACACCCAGTCAGGCCCACAGCCCCAATCCTTGTACCACTCAGGTCCCCTGTCAGCACCCACCCCACCCAACATGCCGCCGGGCCACACGTCTCCACAGGGCTCTTATCCCATTCAGGGCTACATCCACGGCCACCAGGGAATCCCACAATCATATCCCCTGGGACAGATAGCACAGGTATGGATCCACTGGTGCATGGTTACTGTTTCTTCTCATGGATCACTGCAAATTGTCGAATAAAATACAAATTTACCATGAAAATGTAATAATTTTAAGTGTTTTATATTCATCTAAATCTCCTCTGGCCCCACAGGCCCACGTACAGGGAGCCATGTCAGGTCCCCACCACTCGGGAGGCCACGGTCAGCCCCAGTTAGTGATGTTGCAGCCACCTCCTCAGCAGGGCCCCGGCTCAGTGCCCCAGCACCCCCAGCACGGACCTCAGCAAGGAGCACACCAACACTTTTACATAGGCCATCCACAAGGTATGAGACATAATGCCAAGTAAAATCCCTGCTTTGACCTGACCAGTAACGGCGATTCAGATTCTGTCTGTGGTTTGAAGTGTAGCATTTATAGATTTTGTTTTTTGTTTACCTCCCACAGCAATGCAGGTACAAACACACCCTGCTCCCTTCCATCCACCTGGAAACTAAACCCCATCTGCCCCCTCCCCCCTTACCTCCCAAACTGTTCCCAGGAATGAGCCCCAACATCCCCACTGCCTGCTGGATGTGAGGCCCAGACCGAGCGCGACTTAGAAAAAAACAAACTGTCAGGATCGTGCAGAGGAGAGAAGAGGACATAAAGTCTCACAGCACCTTATGCTTCCTGCTGTATTATTCTTCATCAGTAACAAACCTCGGTGTCAGCCCCAGACAAGGAGGACCTTTTTAATGCTAATGATGAAGGTTGCAGACGACAGCAGCAGCGTCCGACCCCCGCTGCCATCCTGCTCTTCTCTCCAACTTCTTCCCCTCGCAGAGACATGAGGCACCTTGCTGGGCAGACCAGTCGGAGAGGAAAAGACACGGATGAAAAACAGCAGCAGACACTTTATCTTCCAGCAATGTGTTTTTAGCCTTGTGGGGTTTTGTAAGTTACATGACACAAATGGGGAAACAGACTGTCGCGGGATTCTCATGAATACAGCATGAACGGAGGGATTTGAAGATGAGGGGATTTTTAGCAAATAATTTCTTCTTTTTTAACTCGATCCAGTAGTTAAAACCACCCCTTTGCCCTTCTTCTCTCCTGTAGGAAAATATAATTAATAAAAAATGGACAAGACAAAAAAAATATTAAAACAACAATGACCAAAAAATAAAGTTTTCAACTCAACTACAAAGCTTTGTTTGTTTAATTTATTGTATCATTAATTGTGCTTGCAGTTACAGTTTAGCTCTGCACAGCATGAAGTTACAGTTAACTATAATGAGACACATAAATGTATTTTTCATTAGACAATAACAAGAGCACCTTTAATTTTAAGCTTGCTGAGCATTTGCTATTATGTCAGGCTGACAAAACGAAGTAATTACCTCCTAGGGGACTTTTTCTTTATTCTCTTCACATTCTCATTAGCTCGGATTCGTTCCACTTGGTCATATAGCTCTGCATGATAATTTAAAATGGTCACTAGGGGGACCCCTCATAAAACACCAGCCTCAGTGCAAATATCATGAGGCACACAGTCCTTGTGGCAGATTGACTCTTCTTTGGGTTACTGGGACACTCTGCCTCTCCTTCAGGCAAGTTCTGACACCACACTTTGGGGTTATGTGACGGCACTCTAGATCAATGTACTACCGAGTGCACCAGCTAGCTGTACGTCAATGTGTCAGAGTGTGTGGCCTAGTTTCCCCTCAGTGCGAGATGTAGGATGCTGTCAGTGCAGCAGGCTGTGGCGGCCTTCTCAGTGTGACAGGGCGTACAGTTGCTCGCCGCTGCGCTCCAGTCGATCCCTGTACTCCAGGTTGGAGTAGTTGCCTTCGGGGACCCCCTGTGTGCCGTAGAGGAGACCCCAGCAGCAGCAAGCAATCACTGCTGTGCTGTCACTGTCGCCTGGGTGGGAAGGAAATGAGATGGAGGAGAACAGAGAGAACAGCATGAGCGAGCCCTGAAATGAAGCAGAACCCCGTAGTGTTTCTGTTTTTATATGAAATTCTTTTTAAAGGTCTAGTGTGGAACATTTAGGAGGATCTATTGGCAGAAATGGAATATGATATTCAGGGTTACGTTTTCATTAGTGTGTAATCACCTGAAAATAAGTCATTTATGGGTCCAATGATCCATTTTTTTTTACTCATACAATAGATCAAAAATGTCTCATTTAATGTCTCACTCATAATGAACCAACTCTGCATTTCCCCTCAGTTATGGAGTTTTTAGCGTCTTTCAGTTTATTGTTTTGGTTTTCTAGCTGCTCTCCCCCCCTTTTTCCCCCCTTTTTTAATTTTTTATTTAAAAAAAGGGATTTTTTTTTTTTAAAAAAAAAAAAAAAAAAAAAAAATTTAAAAAAGAGTAAAATTTTTTTTTTTTTTTTTTTTAAAATTTTAAAATTTTTTTTTGTTTTTTAAAAAAAAGAAAATTTTTTTTTTTTTTTTAAAAAAAAAGACTTTTATTTTTTGAAAATTCAGACCCACTCTCTTTTTTTTAAAAAAAAAAATTTAAAAAAAATATTATAAAAAAAATTTAATATATTTGTTTTTTAAATATTTCATTATATTGGGAACATTTCTTTAGCATTCTTTTAAATCTAATTATGTCATTACTTGAATTTCCCTTGGGATAAATAAAGTATCTATCTATCTATCTATCTATCTATCTATCTATCTATCTATCTATCTATCTATCTATCTATCCATCTATCTATCTATCCATCTATCCATCTATCTATCTATCTATCTATCTATCTATCTATCTACAGCCATAGATGATACTCGTTACATATTGGCACAAGTTCCAGTCTTTGTTCATATAATGGCATAGAGCTGTCAATTGTTAGGAAATTAATCTACTGAAAAAGGGCGGCGGTATTAATCACAATAACTTAAGCCATGGACAGCTATGACACTCGGGGCCAAATATGAACATCTGTTAGGATGACTTCAATTCCCACAGTTCATAAGCAGATTTTTAAAATGTCAGCCATTGTTGTAAAAGACGGCTTGTTCACTAACCGCTGTGTGAAAGAAGATTCCTTTACACTTCATTTGTGCTGCCTCTACAAAGACTGCTTCTGTCCTCGAGACAATGACAGATGAGGACCAATTAGAGTTTAGACCATTAGTCCATATGGCTTGTCTGGGCAAAAAGTGCCCAGACTAGATAGATAAATATTGGGAAAACCTGTCTGTTTAAAACAAGAGGACAGGAATGTTTACAAAGAGCAAAGAGATGTGAAATGATTAAGTCTACTTGTGTACTTGTACCGTGCTGTGATTATCAAGCTAAACTAGACGGCTGGGTTTATGCAAAATACCAGACATAATATTAAAACAGGTTATATTTAGGAATAAATCTAAGATAAAGAGATAAAGAAGTAGTTTTAAATACTTAGAGGTGGAATCAAGGGTCAGGCAAAACTTCCCAATCAGCCTATAAGATCCATAAAAACACGTTGACGTTCACGTTGTCTGACCTCCGTGGAAGGCCGCTCTGGCCATCAGTTCCTCCCAGTCCGAACCCGCCCCCAGCAGGGCGTCCAGCGCGATCATCGGAGCGTCATGGCCGCTGCGTCCCGCCCAGCCCGACAGGCTGAAGCTCTTGTATGCTTCATCTCTCTCAGCTGGGCCGTAGGAGGAGGGCCAAATCACGGGGCCCACTCCGTTAGAGATGCCCCTCGTATCCAGGTACCTGTGGACAGAGGTAAGAGATTCTCCTGACATCCACATTATCCCCCATTACGTAGTCATTCCACGGTTCACAGACATCCTGACATTTATCTTTCAGAGTAGAAAAGCAAGGAGCAATGAAAATAAAATAAATAAAAAGAGCTGTTGAACTGAACGTGACCTGTGACATTTTACCACAAATCTCCTGCCAGCATCGATTAACCTTGAGACTCAATTAGTTTAATAGAAGGTTACCGATGTTAGAAACCTCAATGTGAATACCAAAGCCTGACTTCCATTGCTCGTACCACTGCCACTTGTCACAGAAGTAGCCCCAGTCTCTCTCCGTCTCCTCCACGGCGAAGCCACGACCCTGAACAAAGCTCTTCGCTATTGGACAGGCCTCGTTGATCAGGCCCAGACCCCACGTCGTGATAGGCCTGCGCTGGATGGCGTACGCAGTAAACAGGGCCGACGCTACTGCGCCCAGGAAACCGGTGGGGTGTGGATGGGTCATCCTGCCCGTCTCCACGGCAACTGCCACCAACGACAACAGCTGGTCAGGCTTTGGATATCTGGCGAGGGCAAAGAATTAAAGTCTTTAACAGTATATTATGGAGGATGTGTAGCTAGAGTTTGGTCCATAAACCTAATGCGGTCCGACACAGAGCTGAGAAATCTGTTTAAGCATTCTGTATTAGTACTCGATCTGGATACAAATTATGTTCACAGTAATTACTTCTTTTCATGCTTTAATTGACTCCACATAGTGTTTTTACTAATTCTGGATAATGTTTTAACCCTGGAACTCTATTATTTATGTGTTGTTTTCTGCTTAGTGATCAAAGAACGTATTCCACTGCTGCATTTATTCCAAATGACTTTGGATAAGAGCAGCAGCTGCGTCCCTCAACTGTAAATTTAAATGTGAAATTTTCAATGTCACGTTTTCTACGAGTCATTGCGTGCCCAAACCAGCTTGCATTGTGAATTTTTTGTAATAATTTTTCCCCCATTTCATTGTGCCTCATCATCCAAAGAGAAGATGAAGCCTTCTTGTTTTTCTGCAATTAAAAAAACTCATTAATTCCATCCAATCGATCCCTGTGGAATTCCTCTCTACAACCAAATGTGATGAGTTTAGAGCTCAGACAATTAGTGGATTCATTGCTCAGTTGATCGACAGAGTATTTTGCTAATTGATTAGTCGTTTAAATTAAGCCTCTCCTACCTAAAGATTAGTGCTTTTATACCATTGTAGACAGAATATATTTGGATTCTGGACTGTTTGGATCTTGGAAATAACAACATAAGATAAGATTTATCAACAATCAAGATAATCATTATAAGTTACCTCATTTCTTCATGTGACAAGATTGAGACATTTTTTTGTGGGTCCCAGAAAACAAGGGTGAGGACATTTATTCCCACTTTAAGTTCCTGTCTCTGAACCTTAGTTATTTTGGACTCTGACATTAACTTTGAAAGTTAGTAACATAAGAAGGGCAACCCCCTTTGACCATTTTTGGGGCAGTGATAGAGGAGGCACAGTCCCCATAAAACGTAGTCCTGGATATCGGGTCAGATGAAGATCTTTGGTCAGATGATAGTTCTCTTACAGTGTGATATGGGGACAGGAGTTCTGTGATGTAGGTGGGCGTGAGACAGTTTAATACTTTTATCCTGCAGGAAGCTAATGTAGGGTTGGAGTGATGTTCTTTCTTTTTTGACCTTGTTATATATAGTTTATAGTTTTGTATTTTTCATCAGTTTTGAATTTTTGTTTTCAATACAGTTCAGTTTTAGTTAGTTTCCAGAGTGGGTTTTCTCGTTTACTTTCGTTTTTTATTAGTTTTTTATTTGTTTCAGCATCAGTGTTGGATTTGTTTCATTATAATTGTTTCAATAAACATATGCACCTCATGCTTGTTGTGCTAACGATTTAACCAAACTGACAAAAACTAAAACTAAAGACATTTTCTAAATATTTTGATTTTATTTTAGTTAGTTTTGTAAGTACACAATATTGTTTCAGTTACTTTTCTTCTTTACTTTCTTTTATTTTAGTTAACTAAAATGTTAAATTTTTAGTTAAGTTTTAGTTAACTAGAATAACCTTGGTTAGGACTCTCACTGCTGCATTTTAACTGGAGACGAAACGAAACAATACCAACGTATAAAGAGTTGCAATAATCGAGATGGAAGCATATGAAGGCATGGATGACTTTCTCCAGGTAGGAAATACAAAGATCAAACCTGATCGGTAGCTACTTCACATACAATATAATTCTTGGGGGTGAGTCTGGGGTTCATGCAAGCATTTTAATGCAGCGGACATTGAGTTTACTTTATGTGCCTACGCAAATAAAATGACCTTGCAGATTACCGCAAACATCGGGTACGTGACAAACAAAACTAAAACTTAAACTTAAAACAAAATCAACTTTTAACACATTTCCTTTCCTCTAGCCCTCAGTTAGTCATTAAGATGCCCAGTCCCTGCTCAAGATGCAAGGTCACTGACAATTAAAACCAAGCCCACGGAGGGCTCAGACGAGACAGAACGGATGGGAAGTGGAATGCTTAAGATTTAGTTATTATGTATTTATTCTTAAGACAAGTGTCTTACCTGAGCCCAATGCACATGGACCTCATGGCCGCTCCACAGCCAGTCCCCTCTGGGTTATAGGCCACTCTGTAGCCCCCTTCCTCGCCAGGCTTCAGCTGAGAGACTCCTGAAAGAGCAAATGAGAGTCAAATCTCTGCCATCGCTACAAATAAATGTGGTACGATTTTAAAATGAAGACATCGTCTCACCCAGAATGCTTGAAGGCCCCGGTTTCCTCCCGTCCATGTCTTTCATACCCTCCACATATCGAGCAGCCACCTCGTGCATGAGCTCCTCCCCAGTCTTCCCTACAAGAAAAACAACTTGTTCAAAACGGCAGACACTGTCCGTATTAACGTTTTTAAAAGATGTAACTAATCTGTTTAATGAGGCTGCTTGTTTGCCTTATCACACGAAAGGTCAAGTGGAATTTCTACCACTTTCCTTCCACTTGTGCAGAGCCGTAATAGAGCAGCAAATCAAGACAAGACTGGAAATTAGATTTAACCTTTATCTGGGGCTCATGAGGAGGGAGGCTGTGGTGCGTGTCCTGATGAGGCCTCATCAGAACGGCATCGACTACCAGATCAATCCAATCAATTACCTGTTTGACACGAAACGAGCAAAGGACAGACGGGTTCAATGTCATTCTGAGCTCACCAGTTGCCAGCCCTTCAGCCGTCGCCAGATGCAGAACCGTGTCGTCGCTCACCGGCCAGTCGGGGAGCTCGGCCTTGATGTTCTTCAGACCACCAAGCTCCTTCAGCTCCTGCAAGAACGGGAGGTGGTTTAGCTTTATCACGAACTAGATAATGTACACAGGGCGTTATCATTCTCTATAGTCTCTCAGTTCAAATTACTTGGGCCCCTGAAAACCTGTGTAAGACCGCTGGAGGCCCCCAGACTAATTTTGCTGTTGTGTGACTCTTCCCATGTTGGTCCTGCACTGACCTGGTGAATAGCTGGTCCGGACTCATTGTACTCCCACAGCTGGTTCCTGTATCCCAGAGCATCACCAACTCCACTCAGCAACATGGCTGACTTATAGTGGTCCAACGTTGCAAATCTGCCGGAACAAAACCACTCTGTTAACCAATGTAAAACATTTTGAAGTGTCCGAGCCAGGGGGAAACTAGGTCACTGTTCACTGTCCATACAAAGGAAAATGTACTGAGCCGAAGCTGTTTTATAAAATTTGATTATTTTCTATATTTATTTTGAATTTTTGATTTCTTTTCAATCTGTGTTGAAATACCAGTAACACGGCTGATGTTATATCTCATTGCTCTTGATAAAATGAAATAATTGGTGCACTGAAGCAAAATATGACATTATTGAAAAGGTCTCACAGTGGGAAAACATCAATATGCTTAAAGAAAGGCTTGAAAATAATAGCCAATAGCCTACATTTTAAATGGAGGCTAATAATTCAAAAATATTTATAGTAAAATAAACTTTAAAAAGTAGGTTATAGTGATTTTGGCCTTTGCTATTCAGTAACTTTAAGTCTTCATATGTGCAGTTGTGACCCTAATGTGCAGTCTATAGGCAACATGGAAAGAAAATGTAATAAAGTACAGTATTAGTAAAGTACATTCTTATAAACTAATGTTTATTTTGCCATTTATTAGCGGATTTCAGCAATCTCAACATGTTCTGGCCATAAATTCAAACAACCAATCAAACATATTAACAAGTCAACTCCAACATTAGGTTACTGTCTGGTTAGATTTGAGTGTAATTTAGATCAAATGTAGCCCTTGCAGCAGGAGATCAACCTCCATGCAGCTGAAGCCTCACCGGTTCATTGCAGCGCGTCGTTCCCCGAAATCAAGCTTCACAGGGCGGCCACACACACACGTTGACACCGGGGCTGCGGTGCACCAACTTGTTGCTCTCTTTTACTTGTTTTTTCGCCAAGTATTAGCTCGGTCCCAGCTCAGAAAGGCCTGCAGCGAAACAACGGCGTTCATTCACTAAACTTAACGCGTGCTATTTTAAAAACCAAAGGCAGCCGGTTGGGGCTCGCAGGAACCGTGAGGGCTAAAAAAAGACCACAGGCAAACCAATTTTAGACTTCTGCTTTTCCGGCTGGCAAGATGGAGACATAGCGAGACTAATGGCAAAAGTTTTCTGTAACCCCAGGTTAATAATCGTTGAGTCGTTCCCAGGGGGCTAACCATTTACACAGCTGCACTACACTGATTTATATCTGCATTACTATGTGTGTTATTAACTTTGCCATTTTGTTTGTTGCTAAAACAGTGAATGCTTTAAGAATACTTTAAACTATCTATAAAGTTCTCTATCTGCACAGATAATTGATAACACCAAAAGGGAAGGTTATTTTACATTTTAAGGATACATTTCCTTATGTCTGTTTCATAATATATTTCTATCAGTGTATCGACTAAATAATTACTGTAATGTTACATCTCCTGTTAGCATTAGTTCCATACTTCATTAAGTTAATATGAAATCAGCCTTCAAATACAAGAAACCTTAGTCATTGGAAACAAGAGACACACTTAAACAAGAGACTATAGAAGGGGTGCCCACCTGGAGGGCCAAAACCGAAATGTAATGGTGGGCAACAGGCCAAGAGCAAACACAGCAGTGTCACTCTGCTCACCATGTGCCGATTAGAATAGAATAAACTTTATTGTCCCAAAGGGGAAATTTGTCTTGGGCACAGTGCTACAGTTTGTTGCTTCACAGAAACAAGCATACCTCAACAACAGACACACATTAAAAAACAATTACAAAATCAACATAAAAACATCTTAAAACATGGAAGACACTACATTTTAACACTGAAAATGAATTATTAATTAGTGATCCTACGTCTCTAAAGACCACTATTATCTCACAAAAATGAAACAGCATAACTAGAGATTTTCTTTTTTCTGGAGGGCCATATCTCTCCTCATATGAACACTTTATGACAGTTACACTTTATATAATATGTCTCAAAACACAGGTATTTCCTGACATTTCAAGAAAACGTGATTGATCATTTCTGACAAACTTTAATAAATGAATAAATGAGTCTGTTTCTCACGCTCCTCTCTTGCTGTCAGGGGTGAGTGACTCTATCTCTGCTGTCTTTCTGACCAGATGTTGAACTCTGTGCAAGGCTGGATAATCCAGACAAATCACAGCCTGAGTCCCTCCTCCGCTTCCCCCCACCGGCCCTGTCACCTCTACAGCCAGGTGAGATCAATTCACTTTTTAATCACATCTTTTGGAAATAAGGTTAGCACTTTCTTCAAATGATTTTATCCAACAGAGGATGTAGAATTCGGGATACAAAAGTCAGATCATGCCCTTGTTAAAACAAGCTTAAAAGAAAAAAACCTGAATCCTGTTTTAAACATTATTGAAAATATGCTCATATTAATTTTTTTTGTGAAGACACCACTCTCATGTCTATACCAAGTGTGAGCCTATCGTGACGTCACCCATTGGTTTGTGGAGTTCTATTTTAAAGCCTTGAGTCTGGCGTTTTGACCGTTGCCATGACAGTTTTGACGGAGCCAGTGGAGGTTACGTACTGTGAGTTAAGCTGCTCTGATTGGCTGCTAAGTTTCAACTCGTCCGTAGCTGGAAACAGTGGCGGCTTTCAGCCAGTAAAACGATCAAACTACTGCTACTAACATTATCATTGTAGCTAAGGTGGTACCAAAGTGCTCCAAATGTGCTGTATATTATTGACATCAATGGAGATCTACGGCACAGAACAATAAGATATATATCAGGCTTTGGTTACATTGGCAGTACTGGTTGGGAACTATTTTGGTGTTGACAAAAATAAAAACAGATATAGAATAATATTCCTCATTAATGTAGTTCTTATAAGAGAAACAATGAAGAAAATAGAACCGTAGAATTCTAGAACACTACACATCATAGACTCTAGAATCACAATAGAATGAAGAATGGAGCCACGGAATTCTGTGTACAGAAAAAGACTCAAAACACATTACAGAACCTGCAGTTTTCCCTAAGAGACTAAGGATATTTCAGGAATACGTGTTTCTGTGACAGGCAGCCATCAATTTGTAACTGGTTTGTAATTTTTTGTTTTATAAACTAGTTCCCTGGAAATAAGGTAAGTCTATAACCCTATACACAGTATTATTCCTCAATAATCTAGTCTATAATTTAAGTATTACCATGACTCTGCTGCTGTCTACATAAATAGTCACTGCCATAGAGTTAATGTAACACTTCACTTCTCTAAGAGCCACAGAACAAATTTTCTGCTGTTAATGAGTGTTGATTTTTTCATTAACATTCTATTAGATGTTTAAAAATTGATCACTATTTAATAGTTGCATTCATTTGCTGGGATTTATAGTCAACACTGTCATAACGTTAACCTTTTCAAGCCCTATGGCTATAAAGGACAAAAACAAGTTTTTGAAAGTCATATTTTGTCTCGTTCACAAGGAATGACTTGTTGTTTTTAGGGGACAAATGTGTATGTTTTGTGTGGGAATTGTGAAGACAAACATCTGTTTACACAACCACATTAAAAGGGAACATCTACCACAGGGTTACTCAACTTGCTTTGCTCAGGAGCCACACAAAGGGGCCAGTTATTAAACAAACATGAATAATATTTATCAGATTAAATTAATTAACATTAATTTATTGTTAATGTCACAGAATAAGACAACTTCAAAGTCGTAATCTTCTTTTTTGTTGCGGTGCTACTGGGCAGGATATTAGCAACCTTGCACACAATAGGAAAGTTTAACGCAGTGGTTTAGGATTGGTATGAAGTGGTAAAATAAAGGCAAATTTATCAGTAACCTTTTTTACTGAATTAGCTTGTTGTTATTGTCAACCTTTACACATTTGCTGTCCTCACTCATCTTTGTCAAAAAGCAAATCCAGTCACAGCAGCCCTGCACAAGTCTGTTGTACAGTCACAAAAATCAAGTGTCACTGTTTCTGCACACTGTACTATAGGATAATATGCAACAAGTATCAGCCAAGGGACATAATTCAGCATTTACAATTTGGTATAAACAAACAAAAAAGTTCCCAGTGTGAATCAGTTTATTTTCGTTGTGAATCAGAAAATGGTTGGAGGGCTTCCGGTTGAGATGGCGACCTGAAAAGACCAAAGGTCCACTTCTCCAATATACTTTAACACTTTCTGCCTTGAATCACACTCAATCACAGATACAACTAGCGGTAAAGTAAACTTAAGGCACAGCTGGTGTAGAGAACAACATCTGGACTCCTAACATCCATAAGTATATTGCTGAAAGTTAATCCTTGCACATGTTCTCATGCTAATGCTAGTGATGGCTGAACTAGCAATGCTACGACTGAACTTACTCTAAAGCACTCTGACATTAAGATCAGAGGTGTGTGCGTCATGGACAAAGATACTCTCCGAGCTGAAATCAGTTGATTTGATTTATAAGTACTTTCCCCATTTCTTGTTTTTCTTTTTAATGGTCACCCAGCACCTCTCCTTCAGAGCATATATGCAGGGTGCTCACTTTTTATTTCTTATAAAGGTTTGTTTAATAAATAACTCAGAGCAGAAGATTAGAGTCACAGTTGACTGACAACACTTTAGACTAAAAAGACAATGGTCCTGTTAAAGTTAGGCATCTCATCAGGGAGATGTTTTTTTTCTTTTGCTCCTCTCTTTTCTCCTTTAGCTTCACTCAGGCTTATACCTACCAACTCAAACTCAATACATACTGATATTTCATTAAATTTTCCTTTAAATTAAATTACTGTAAAATTTATTTCTTGGAATATCTGAGTCTCGAACCGTCCTGTTAAAGAAAATAAGGTTTTCTCACACCTTGCAGTCTTAAAGGTTGGAATAGCTTTTCTACAGGAGACCTATCTTTGTAATTCAGATGTACCTACGCTCTGACGTAGTTGGGTTGGCGAAGTATGGAAGCATATTGCAATCACTTAAAAAAAAATCTGCTCTGTTTTTCTGAATTAACAAATTACTATGTCATATGAGATACTCTTTCATGCACCCCCCCTTTTTTTTGGGCTGGTTATCTGAATTAATGAGATACCTCCAGCACACTCTCCTGGCCAAGAGCCGGCTCTCAGCTCCCCTGAGCCGAACCGAATCCTGTATCCAACCTCCAGCGGGCTCCGTCTCCCCTGTTCACTCCCTGGAACTCTGCTGAAGAACCATTGGGAGAAACGCCCAGTGCCTGTTCTCGGCTGTCCTCCCGTGTCTGGGGACATTGGGTGTTCCCTGTGTGGTCACAGGAGAATAGCCAGAGAACAGGCACCATGGGCTCACTGTAAAGATCAGTGAGGTACGTGCCCACGCCCAGTGAGTAATCTTGGCTGTCCTCTTGTGGCCAAACACCCCCTGGGTGCAGGTACACTGGAGGCCATCGTTTAGGGTGCGCCTGGTTTGAGACGTGATTCACTTCCTCCCCTTCATCAGTCACACAGTTCCTTCTCCAGTATTTAACTACACACACACCAGTTCATCATAGTTTATAATAATGCATTGCAGTCAGGGTACAGTTGTTTCATAACTATAATCTGTGTGTCACTGTTGACAGAGACTCCAGTTTGCAAATCCACACACTTGTAAACTGCTGAGCCAGCAGCCGGTGCCTGTTCTCGACAATCCTCCAGTGAACATCCAATGTGATTATGTTGGATTGGACAATAAAGAATCTTGTGTAGAATCTACACATGAGAGAACAGCCGAGAACAGGCTGGATACAGGATTTGGGTAAGGCTCAGGGGGTCTGAGAGTCGGCCCTGGGCAAGGAGAACGTGCGGGAGGTATCTTATTAATTCAGAAAAAAAGAGCCAAATGTCTTTTTGGCATTACAATGCATCTCGTAATTATGGCATAGTAAGACATTAATTCAGAAAAACGTTTCAAGTGAATGTAGCACGCTTCTGTAGCCAAGTGTATCACTCGCAGTTCAATGCTAAGGGCGGTGGATCTGCTATCCCAATACACAAAAACATCTGCTTTGTTGTCAGCAAGGTTGACACTGACATTAAAGGTGGGTTTGTTATTATACAGATGAGCTCTTCAACAAGCCAATCACTTTAGTGAATCTTTACATCACCTAACTGGGATGATTCTGGCCATAGACACTCACTCGTTGATCC